AGAAGTGGTTCACTATAAATTGGAATCATTATTGAAGTCATAGTTGCAAAAGCAAACTAATTTAGGGATAAAAGCCCTTTGCCTAGTATTGTTCTTTTAAAGTTAGACTGCTCTTTTTTTTTAAATTGAAAACTAGTATTATGTTCTTATAAATTCTCATGGTTACTCATGGGTAGAAATGGATGGCATGGCCAGTTCTGTAAACTGGTGGCACAGCCAGAAATGATGTACAAATATCAGTGGCTAACAAATATCACTGGTATGACTCACCCCACCATTGTGAATCCTCTTCTGAGTAATGTTTTAGGAGACAAACTCTGAAGTGTTGGATTATTCAAATGAAAATGGGTTAGGTTACTAAAACCTTATTAAACAGTGCATTAAAAAGGACATGTAAAGAATATGCATCTGTTCATTAGTATACACAGAAATGTTGTAAAAAGTTAATAATGTGGCTGGAGAGGAGGTGGCATCCACATTATAATACCATAATAGGTAAAACAAAGGAATTTAGATTACTCACTGATACCTATGTTTAAAATCAATCTTTGAAAACTGGTGATTTCAGAAACAGATGAGTAGCAAAACATATGTGGAATAATAGTTCCCACAGACCTGGTTTGATGCTAAAAGTATCAAAAATTGCAATGGCTAAGCTGTCTAAAAATGCCCAGTTCTTTCCCCACTGCTTTGGTGAGTAAAGCTTAGTGAAGGGATGGCCTAACACCAAAATACTTTTCCAGGAGCAATGTCCTAGGATTTCCAGACATCTGGTATACAAACATGGAATAAATAATCATCTGCTCCTATCAATAACTTCCTTTGAGCAGCAGGAATGATTTTTTTCTTTTTTGTCACATCTCGTCACAGGCTGGTGTAATTTTCTTTTTGTTTGCATTTTTGCCTTCAAAACAGCAATTCAGATAAGTTCTGAAGTCTAGTTTCCCCTCTGTGAAAGAACACAAACATTTTCAGTGTATGTTAAGGAGCAGTATGTGACTACAATGTTCATTCAGAGTAGTAGTCCTGCTTAAAAGATACGAAGCAAATTCATGGCTGGTAACATGAATCAATAGCCTTACACAGTGAGGAGGATGCCATACTGGGATCATACAAAGTGGAAGATGCTGTGCAAGGCATGTGAAACAATCCCCCCACTGCATTTAGCATTAGTGAAGCAGGAGCAGTGTGTAATTTGGAACACTTGAGTTCAAAGAAATGGGTGGGCCAAGGCAGAGCAGCTAGAGGAAATCAGCAAGAATGATCATTGATGTAGAAAAAAAAGAGCCTGCGAGGGAACACAGAGTAGGAGTTTTTGGGGCTTTTTTTATTTAGGTTGTAGGATTGAAGAGTCATGTTTGTCCCAGGAAGTGTAAAAAGTTCTTGCAGTGAAGGGGTGGTTGTCTGTGCCTTCTGCTAATGAAGAAGAGAAGAGGCAAGGGGACTAATATAAGTTCTTCACAGATCTAGGAACCTCTTTGGGTTTTTACTTCCCTTGGTTTAAATTCACTTGCTAGGATTTCTTTTTGCACTTAGCAAATAATTGTTAAATTAGAAGTACCTAAAAATATATCAGTGGGAACCTTTATTCTCTATACAAGAGTAAGAGTGATTAAATGCACAAGATTAGGATTTGTCCAGGAATCATAAAAAGAAGTCCTACAAAGCCAAATATTGGCCAAGATAAGATTTAGTGCTGTGCCATAGTCACAAGGTCATACTTTGTTGAGAATGAATTCTCCCCCTGCTGCTGAGGTGGGTTTGGGAGGAGAAGGGTGATATTTCTTGAATTTAGATCTGCGGGATTGCCAGACACTTTGGCTGGTCTCTGAAATAGCTGTACATCACTACATGGCTCTTCACATTTGGTTTAGGATCATAACAGGTTTCTCATTTGCATTTGTCTGGCATTTGCAAATTATTTTACTGAATGGCAAAAGTAATTATGCCTTCCTTACTACAAAAATTAGGGACTTTAAGTTGATAATTTGTAGTTACAGAAAAGATATAGCTGCCTTAAAGTAAAGTGTTTTCAGAACACAGTATAAGAATTGCTAAAAGATTTTGCTTCACTTGCTCGACAAGTGATTTGAATAAGCAGTTTCAACTTCAATTTTCTCTGGATAATTAGAAATAAACTGATAATTAACAAATTAAACTAATGCTTATCCAAATTTCTCCCTTCTGTTTCCAATGACTGCTTATTTTTCTTTGCAAATGAATTTCTAATGTGTAATGAGTTGTCCAAAGAGACAAATCTGGGGAGTTGTTCAGGGTTTTTTTTTCCTCCAGATAGTGGACTTGATTAAAAGACAACTAACAAAAGTTCCTGACATATGTATTCACTTTTGTTAGTGGTCTTCTCTTTTCTTTGATCTTTTGAAGAATCTTTCAGAGATTCTTCAAAATACATACTATTTAGGTATACCAATACTATCCCTATACTGATTTCTGGTAGATATCCCCCTATTGAATTTAATTTGAATGGTCTTGTTTGGAAAATTCTTTGAACTAAAAATGTTTTTCCAGTCTATTAATACAATGATTTTAGAAATGGAAGCTTCTAGAATAAGACAGATAACTTTTTTTTTTTTTTAAACTATGATGTATTTTTACAGTGATGTGACTACATAAATATTTTTGTCTGTAGGAAAAATTTTCTGTTCCAAACAGAGCTGTTTCAGTGAAGTACCTGTGACTTTAGAAAAAGGTGAACTGAATATTCCAGACCAACTGAGGGTTCTTTTTATTTTCTTCTTTAGAATACTCCTACACAGATTTCTGAATTGTCTCTATTGTTAAATGTCTTCTGTAACTTCTGAAGTCTGAGTGTGAATCAAGCTGTTGATACTTATTTTGCTAACTAGTACTGTCTTACTGTGCTTTCCCATCTCATCTCTACCTGCCTTGACCTTCGGGTAGAAGATCTTTGGTGCAGGAATTGTTACTCAGTGCCGTGCTGATTAGTCACCTGGTGTAATGCAGTCTTTGTGTGAATAGGGCTTCTTGTCCTTACCAAAATCCAAGCAGTAAAATATTTTAAGATGAAAATATCATAAAGATGTTAAAAGCATTTTTGTAGAGTATTATCAACCTGTGAATTTGCAGGGAGAAAATGGTACTTTATGTATTATGTCCATGTATTGTATATGTGAAAAATTTTAGTGCCTGTGTAATGTATTAACTCTATTGACAACATAACAATTGGACATGTAGCTTAACATCCCATATATATTAAGCAGGTTTTGTAAAAGATGTGGATTTGTTATTTGAGTCACAGTGCAGCAATAGAAAGATTTCTTTGGTGAAATGATACACCTAGCAGATTGAATTGCCATAAAGGTCAGCACTAACTATGAATTTAAAGATGTATGCTGCTTGTTTATTTCTAGGACTTTTGTAGAAGCAATCTAAATGGAATGCTTTGAGAGCTGTGTGCCCACATTCTGCATTTTTTTAAGCATTTGAGCAGTACTTACGTGGAGTGTATGCCTTTATTTAAAAAAAAAAAAAAAAAGCAAAAAGGGGTGATGGTGGTGTGGGGGACAATTTTTCTGTAAATCACAGAGCTTATACAGCACAAGCTGGATCTGTTGTTGTTCTGTTGGACAATGGACTATATCTTACCTTCTTTGATCACATTTTTGATAACGTCTTCCATTCTTAACCTGTTCTCAGAAATGTAACACCTCAGATTCTTTTCACGTATTTTGTCCAAGGATTGTAGATTTCAGAAATCCATTTTGCAGTCTTTCATGAACAACACTAATTTAATTTCTCAAGGAAATTTTTTGCTGGCGTACTAATTTTTGTACCATCTTTTTACACAATAGGAATTATTTCTACGTTGATATTGTATTGTGGTCTTTTACCTCTTTTCATGTATTTACATTAGAGCTGGGTAGATTCAGGAAGGCTTGAGAATATCATAGAATGTATTTAGGAAATCACACGAAGATACTGGGATTTATTATGTTAACTTTTAGGTTGTCTAAACTGTTTTGCTCGGGTACTCCTATCCTCAGATCAATTTAAACTGGAAAAGCAAAGCAAGAGCTGTAACTCAGCTTTAGTATAATCTTACAGGTCACAACTGACTAGGAATCCCTGTTTTGTGCAGGATTTACAGAATGAATTGGTATCTAAATCACTCCATTTGAGAAAAAGTCTAGCATACATTATCAGCTTTAGTTGTGAGTTTCTTTACATTTTTCCCCTCCAAATAAGCACTGCAGATTTCATTATATAAACTGTGTTAGGAATTGAGAAATCCTCTGACTACAGATGCTGAGAATGGATTATGAGACACAGGACAGCAGAAAATAGAGGATTATGAAGTGAGTTGTCATGTTTATAACCAGCCAAACCCTAGCTCAGTTCTCGAACTTGCCTCCATGATAAAACAAACACAGGAAAGACAGAATATTAACATAAAGTCAGTGCTTCCCAATTTTGCAGCTGTGTGAATTGGTAAACACTTGTAAATAGGAAGAATTTAGATGAGTGTACTCTCCAATATCAAGTGATATGGTAATGTTTCATCTGTATCTCACTTGTGTATTTTTTATGTACAATGTGTCTGCAAATGTGCCTAATAACCTTGGGCAAAACTTGCCGTAGAGCTGCCTTCCCATCCCTGTGGTTGGGGTGGTGGGCAGCAGTGGGACTGCCTCCCACTGAAAGGATCTAGGACAATTTGGGTAGAAATCCCAGCAGCTCTGTGGCTGCCAGCTCGTGTGTGTTGAGGACAGACACCAGGGTGTCAGTAGGGAATGTGGTGCTGGAGCACAGCAGCGCCGAGAAGAAACGTGAGGAAGATGCAGTCAGGGAGAGCCTGTGTCTGGGTCCTTGCACAGTGTTACTGTGACAGAGAAACTTGTCTTTTTTATCAAAACAAAATTGGTTTAAAACTGGCAAAACAAAGCTTAATTAACTTTTCAGAGACTAATGTTTAGGTTTATCGTGGTATATGTATTGTATATTTATTTTTTTTTCCACAGAAACCTGCTAATATTTTAGTTATGGGTGAAGGTCCTGAGCGAGGAAGAGTAAAAATTGGTATGTTTATATCTTTGATAAGTCCCAGTGTAGCATTTAAGTTAGAATGTTCTGAAGGTGCAGTTGTACCACCTAAAGTAGTCACTGTAATACCAGTATGTGCCTGGGCACATTGCCTAAATGATGTTTTCTGAGTGACTGGCTTCATCATATTAGCCCCATGTACCAGTTCTGACAATGAAATGCTGTAGCCTCATCAATAAAAAATGGAAAATGTCATTATATTTTGCTTAAGTGGGTGTTTGTGTGGGGTGGGGGATTTTGATGTGGGGTTAAAGATGACAGCTAGCTAGAAGGAAAGGAGGAGAAAGAAATGGGATTTTAAAATTTCCTCCATTTACCTCTAATGCCATGACATCTTGCTGCTGCTTGTAAGAATCTAAATAGGGAACTACTCATTGTTGCAAACTTTAAATCTTATAATGGAATCAAAGATGGCATTCAGCCTACAAAATATTCTTGAAAGAGTAGTCACGTCCCTTGGCGATGAACACAAGGGATCTTAAAAGCACAGAAAACACAGAAATCCATTCAAAATGTTTAGTGAGAGCTAATAGCTAATGCTAAATGCTTAGCCTGGGATGTACCAGGTCAGAAAGGACCCAATACTTCCACAGAGTTGTAACATTTTCTGGTGGGAGTTACTATTTGCAGTGAGAGGATGATTTGTAGAAGTTCAGTTGTTTTAAACTAAATACATAAATAAAAATTAACAGTAGTCTAACAATAATAAACTGTACCAGGCTGTGCATTATCATGGCACTGCTGTAATAGCAGGCTACTAATGCACAACCTGCTTACATTTGTTACGGTAATGCAGCCCCATTTGGAAGGGATTTTTAAAGCTAGTTCATCTTTTTCACTTCCCTCTGGCTTTCTTTTATGAGATTATTCTTCTTCATTGTTGCTCTGTTCTCTTACTGTTTTGTTTATCTGAACTATACTGTTAATCACTAGTACAATGATTCAGGGTAGGATTTTCTGGGAGCGTTCAGTGCTGCTCTAGGCCTTCCCTTGTCCTTTGGAATCCAGGGAGCGATGGGCCAGGGTGTTGAATGCTTCTGCAGATCCTACTCTGAACGTCTTTAATGCCTATCTGAGCTTTAAGGTTGTCAGTAGGGATTGAGGTCTGCATAGAAAAGAGCTACAGCATGGACAACAGAAACGAAAATTTCTTCATATTACCTTACTCTTCATGGAGGGTTTCTTCCAAAACAGAGAATGTAGGTCATCCTCTGGACTCACTTTGGACAGTGGTGGTGATACTTGCTGTACACAACTACTTGCTAGTAATTGCACACAGACCACCCGTTTATTTCTTAATTTATAGTTTTGAATTAATTTCAGAATAACATAGTAAGTGACTAAATTAAGTCAGACTCTGTTAATGGACAGGTGAAAGATTCTGTATTTATGGGCCACCAGTCCTCTGAGCCATCCATTCCCAGCAGGGAAAGAGGGAGGGGAACCTTGGATTCCTTAGTGTGTTACCAAAATGTAGATATTGTTTTCTTATTTTCTTAAGATTGCCACAGCAGTAAAAGAATGCAGAAGTTACACACCTACCAAGGGCTTCCACTTCTCCAGTGTAACTAATTTTTTCTAAAAAATACATAACTGGTATTTAACTTAAAATAATTTTTATAGGCTTTTTGTGTCATTTTGGGTCATAAATTCACTTTCTGCCAATAATTTTCCTTATTCATAGTTATTAGTGACTTGATCAATTTCAAGTAATTGATATTTTAATGTAGAAAACTGTAAAATGTTTATCTTTAAATGCATTAAAGCAATCATAAATAGGAACGCATATGAAAAAATAATTAAGGATTGTGTAGTCAAGTTACAGACCCATACTTACATGCAATATTCCCTCAGTGAGCTGTAGCATCTAGGTCCTTTTCCCTCAGGGTGGCTACTCATCCCATTTCATTCAAGTCTTTCTCAGCATGTGAATATCCCTACATGATAGGGTTACTCTGTCTTGGGATTTGGGGGTTGGTGGGTCAGGAAAGCAATTTCATGGGAGAAGCTGCATAGTTTAGTTTCTGCCCCTTTTTTCCTGTATGACTTACATTTAGTCATTCAGACTACTTTCTAGGCAGTTGTATACTACCAGTTTTAAAAAAGCAGTTTGTAATGATACAATGCCCACAACCAAAATTTTAAAATCATAGCCTTAATGGTATATCAGTACTGGTATATTGCTATTGGAAATGCATCTTGATAGAAAATCAGCAGGGAGGCAGATGCTGTAGGCTTAGTTGCTGTTTTTGTGTGAAGGAAGTCTTGCTAAAGCTAACTTGATGAGGAGGGAGCTTTTGTCATGTGCACATATGTATTATAAATCATTCTAACCTTTGCAGAATCTGCATTTTGCTCACTTTAAAAATTGCTGCTATGTGAAAAAACATCCTGTAATAATGGGAGTATTTTACCAGAGAACATCAGGTAAAATGAGTCAGGATTTACCAGTGTTCTGAGGAGTTGATGCACTTCTTCAGGACAATGGTTAATTCCTTTTTGTAAATGACTCATGTTAGTAATGATTTATAATGATATACTTAATAGGTGATGCCATCCAGTAACTTCTACAGAAAGAAAATCTGCTCAGAGAGTTCATATCTGCTACAGTTCGCCTTTGCGTTTTATTTAGGAGTGATGATAGTGCTAACAAGTAAACTCAATCAGTTTGTTTAAAAAAAAAAAAAAAAGATTGTTAGTTTCCCTCAAATTTTAAAGCATCTCTCTTTGAATTTTGCAGCTGACATGGGCTTTGCCCGATTATTTAATTCACCTCTGAAGCCTTTAGCAGACTTGGATCCAGTAGTTGTAACCTTCTGGTATCGAGCTCCAGAGTTGCTTCTTGGAGCAAGGCATTATACCAAAGCTATTGGTAAGTAAATTGGACAAAAATGTACTGTTTTGTTGTTTATGTAAACTGTACCCAAATATTAAAGCTTTGATAAATTGTTCAAAGGAGTTAAAGGTACATTACTTGTTTCTTGAAGAAACATTAATCTTTGACAAGTTGTTTAGTTTACTGGGGTCTCAGGCTATATATAGAAATGAAATATATTGCTGTATTTTGGCTCCAAATGCTCTGCAATGCAATCTAAGTTTGTGGCTTTCACACAGGACTTTCATAAATGCTGTTAGAAGCTATAAAAAAATATGGAGACATCTTTGAGCTGCTAGTAGAATTCATATTAGGATGACTGTGAGGCACAGTGCATAAATTTTATTGCAGAAGTTATTACCTAGAATGTACATGTACAGAATGGAGAATATAGTGGCTGCCCTCAAGTTAAACTATAAAATTAAGCTGCATTGTAGCCTCTCTGTGTTTTTCAAAGGCACTTGACAGATGGCTGGAGCTTTTGTGGGCTGTAGAACAGTTCTGGGAACAACCCAGAAGCAAACTGGAGGGAGATTCACTTTTACTGGATTGATCAGCTTTGCTATGGAAGGGAGAGAGGCTGTAGGGAAAAGCACTGGGAAGTTTTTCTCTTACTGCCTGGTCTAAAAGATGTGTCAAAGGCTGGCAACCAGTTCTGGGAGGAAATAACTTCCCTAGCAGCTTCTCCACTTTGCACAGACATGGAGGTTGTATGTCAGCATATTGTGTTGTTGTTTCTGTAACCTGAAAGTCTTCCTCAGAACTCAATCTCTTTTTCTTGTTTTGTTTTGGTTTTTTGAAGATCATATCTGCGTTTCTGTCAGCAATTCTAATGTTGATGCCTTAAATGTATTCGTGTTTACTTTTCTGTTAATACTGTGTTTCTTTTCTAGATCAGATACATTATTTTGTATGTTCCTTTAAACTTCATTTGTTGTATTTTCTTGTTCCCTCACCTTACTGCCATTTCTTCTGATTGCAGCGTGTGAAACTGTCACAAAAGCAGTCATAGCCTTTAGTACATAGGTTTTTCAGTGCAGATAAAAAATGACTGTGTAAAAACACTGAGTAATGGGGTTATACTGTCTGCATTATTTGCTTTTGTCCTTGTTTATGACCTTGTTCATTTAAGGTTCAGTGTAGCACCACTTTGAGTTAAAAATTGCATTTGTATATATTGGGAAAAAATTGAGAAAACAGTAGGGAAAATTCAGGTGATCTGATTATTAGATAGGAAAAAAACAATGAAAAAAGAAAGGTTGTGGGGTTTGGGTGTTTTTTTTAAATCAGTGTTACTAAAAAGTTGTGAGGTGTGTGGGCTTGTAGCAATTTGCTTGTTACTCTCCTTCAAGGTGTTATAGATAGCATTCAGTTTATACCAGTATTGCTACTTTTCAGCTTGTATTTTTGGGGTCATTTACTACTTAAACTTGGCTGATGAGCATTTGCACATTTCTTGGTCAGGACAGTGTGGCACTGGACAGGCAAGGTGCTGGCTGGCTTATCTTTGTGTTTTGTGACAGTTACCCCAATAGTTTCCTTCACTTTTATTCTTAACCAAATAATTTTTTTACAATGTTAAGTGGTAGTAGCTACACTTCAAAAACCCCAGAAAAACTTGTGTGATACTCTCTCAGCTCCTGTGCAGTTACTGAATTCAAAGCTAAAAGAAAAAGTTGAGGGAGTATTGCACTTCTACAATAGAAACTTGAAATTTTCAGTACAGGAACCTTATCTCTGATAAGCTAAACACTAACATTCTATCTCATCCAAATGCTTTTGGAAAGATTCATTTGTTGTTTTTTTATTTCTGTTCTCCTTTTTTAAAGATATTTGGGCCATAGGGTGTATATTTGCAGAGCTGCTAACATCAGAGCCAATATTCCATTGTCGACAAGAAGATATCAAAACTAGTAATCCTTATCACCATGACCAGCTGGACAGAATATTCAATGTAATGGGATTTCCTGCAGGTACATACTGTATTTTTTATCACTGCTGTTCAAAGAAAGATATCCATATTGCTTTCTTTGCATATGAAGGTGGCAGCTGATCAAAGCAACAGAGCTGTTCAAACACAGTCTTTATTTCATGAGTTCTAAATCTAAAATCCAATGGTCAGATTAGATATTTTCCCTTTTATTAATGATAGGGTTATCTTTGTGTATATATGTACCAATGCTGTATTATTTTAAAAGATTGTGTTTAATGGTGGATGATTAAAAATGAGAAGAAATATTTCTGCATTTCTTTGGTACTGATTATTGATTTGGAAGGTGACTGATGATTTATAAAACAAAGCAAAAATATATATTTAGTGAATATTATTAATTTGTTTTAACTCATGCCAAGTTAAACATAGCATTTGGAAGTAATGGAGGGGTATTGATTTTTTTTTTTTTCCCTTGGTGGAAAGCTGGTGGTATAGAAAAAATTACTTTATTCTAAACCAGAAGAAAGAACCGGTTGTATGAACCAAAACAAATTACAGTGGGGATATCACTTGTTGCATTTCCCCCTCAGTGTTCATCGTATCTTGTTTTTATGCAGGCTGACTTGCTTCAGTTCATACTTTGTCTTCTAGTGTTCACATGACCACAGTAGTCAGAGTAACAGGGACCTTATTTTTGCCTTTTGTTTACCTTTCTCTACACTGCTTGTATTCTCTGCTCCACTGTTAATTGTGTTTTCTTTTATTTTTTTTCTGGACTTGCCTCTTCCTTTCACATGACTTTTGTGGTCTGTATGTTTGTGTGGTTCTAGAATTTTGTTACTAATCATGCTCTTAATTTTGCTTTTGACTTTTCTTTGTGTGTATGTATTTCATTGCTTCTGTACTGCTGTATGAGATTCATGTAAATGTTGCCTTTGCATATTGTCTCCTCAGTTTTGCTTCTTTGAGCAATACTGTCTCCTTCTGCTTTTGAACTAGAATTTTACCCTTTTGTACTTTTCTTAGTTCATTTGGGTTTTACATTGGTTCTGTATAGCTTACATAGGTAGATCATACTCTCATTTTGGTTTTCTGATTGGTTTAATTAATCCTTTCTAATGGGCAGTGTCTGATCTTTGGAGTTCTTTGGTTCTTACCAAGAAATGCTTTTCATTCAATTACAGCAATATTTTTTGCATTTTAATTGACACTTGCCAGATCTGAAACAGTTTTTCATGTCTCTAGGATAGGAAAGAGGAGAATATTTTGTTTAACTAAGTAATAATGGCATAGTTATCTCTGATTTATTTAGTGCTTTTAAACTTGCTCTTCTCCAGTAGTGATCAGATTTAGGAAAGATTTGAATTGAACCAAATTAGTTGCCCACAGAGCCTTTTCAGGAATTAGAGCTTAAGATATTTGAGGCTAAGTGCTGGAAGTGAGTTTTTTAATTTTAAATCCATTTCAGCCTTGGTCTACATTAAGACAAATTATTCTTTAATTTGAGTGTGAAAACTTGACTTTTTCTTAACTTTCTCTTTGTTAACAGTACTTCTTACTTTGCAGAAGTACCTCTGGGTGTTTTCCTATAACTAAAAGTGCTGTCAGAACAGAGAATCCCTTACAAGGAGACAGGGTTTACTGGAGTCCTGTGTACTCCTGTCCTGAGATCACAGCTGTGTCTAAATAAATTAAATAACAGTCCTGAAGGGTTCAAGCACAAGGCCTGATGTGTTTTTCTTCAGCATTGTTTTGTGGGCACAGTAGCTGGCATCCTTTATTCGAGTTCTTGAGTTAATCAGCACACAGCTGGAACCTCTTAGGTGTTGGTATGGTTTATTGTGAAGAGATGATGAAGGCATAGGAGCTATGGAGTACAAAGGCTAACTGCAAGGTTAAAGCAGCAGAAAAAAATAGAAATCAAGGCTGTGGAGATACTTGAAAATGCATTGTTTTACTCAGAGAGAAAGGGAAAAAATAATTAATACTGCTTTGCAGATAAAGATTGGGAAGACATAAAAAAGATGCCAGAACATTCAACCCTAATGAAAGATTTCCGGAGAAACACGTAAGTCTGAGTTGAACTTTCTTGATATTTTTTAATATTTATAACATATTTTATATTTCCTACACTAAATTTCTTGCAATTCAAGTTGTTTTCTATGTAGATGCCAAGCAAGGACTGTGAAATTGTTATGACTTAGATTATGATAAAGAAAGTTGTTCATAGTGATGAGCTTGGGCTGTTGAGGTGGATCAGAAGAGCAGCCAGAGAGGCTGTGAAGGGAAAGGCGGCAGGTGTGAAACAGGTGATGCCATTAAGACCCCATGCAGCTCTGAAGTTTGCAAAGCACAGTGTGTCAAAGCACAGCTGGTCCCAAATCAGTGGTACTGGCAATGAGTTCCTGTATTTCTTGTGGTATAAGGTTACCAGACCCCTTTTCAACAGAATTCTGTTGAGTTCTGTTGAAAAGGGGTCTGGTAACCTTATACCATTTCCAGCAAACAGTGGATATAATTGTCAGCTTTGGTGCCTAGGGTAGCTTACAGTGACTAAAGAAGAAAATAACCTTCAGCTTTGCTGTCACATTGCCACAGGCTAATACCTGCAGTTGAAATGCTGCCCTGTTGCCTGATTTCCATGCAGAGACATTTGGGGCTGTACAGTTACATACATTTCTTGCAGCTGCCATGCTATTGCAACCATTTAAAACCCCTTTTTTTCAGCTTCTCTTCAAGAGAAGAATAAATACATTAATGTTCTTGCAGCAAGATGTAGGTTGCAGGAGAGCATTCAGATGAGCTTAGTATTTATCTCTGTCTTCACTGTCATGAGAAAGACACCGAATCAAACAGCATAGTAGTCAAATTGCAACCAGGCAGTTTAAATCCAGTTGATAGTTTACTGTCTGCATGTGAGTTAAAATTGTGCTTTTTGTGTGACTGTGATACGCTTTTATAAGAATGTGAGGGAAACATGCCTTTCTGCAGTTCTGATTTTTAAGAATCTCTGGTGTTGATAGTTGTGGTTTTTCCCTGCTTATTGGATTTGCAGGGAGACTGAGCTGGTCTTATTAATTAATATATTTTGTGGCTACCAAGAAAACTTGGCAGTATCAATGATTTGCCTATTAGAAATACCACTTCTGTTTCCTTTTCTAGGTATACCAACTGCAGCCTTATCAAATATATGGAAAAACATAAAGTTAAACCAGATAGTAAGGCATTCCACTTGGTAAGTTTCTGCATACATAAAAAATCCAATCCCTTGTATATGTTAAACTTGTTTCAAGTAAGAGCTGAGCTGGTGTCAAGTCCACTGTAACTAACTTCATAAATAAAGTTATGAATAACTGATACTCTGCAGTCTGAAAATTGAAAAATCACTTCATCTTCTCACATTGACAAAATGATTCTGAGCATCATTCACTGGATTAGATTCAATATCAAATAATTTTGAAGTGTTTAAGTCATGTTTAGCCTGTAGTTAGATTTGCAGTATTGCTACAATCCTTAGTCATTTTGCTGCTTTGCATACTTTCAATAGCTTATTTTTACTTTTTAAGAATTCCTATATGCCTGTTTTCTGGGTTTTTTTGCATATTCATTTTAAGCTTTTGAAGAGACCTTAGAGCAGACTTCCGATATGTAAAGGGAGCATGTGTAGAGACTTTTTGCAAGGGCAAGCAGTGGTAGGACATGGGGTAATGGGTTTAAGCTGAAAGAGGCTAGAGCTGGATTGTGTGTTAGAAAGAAGTTCTTGACTGTGAGGGCAGTGAGGCACTTGGGACAGTTTGCACAGAGAAGGTCTGGATGTCCCATCCCTGGAAGTGTTTTAAGGTCGGATGTTTTAAGGTTGTGACTGACTTGGAAGGTGCCCCAGCCTGTTGCAGGGTGGTTGGGACAAGATGGATATTAAGATACCTTCCAAACCAAGCTATGATGTGATACAAGTTTGGATTTTACAGACTTAAAAAGAAAATTAATTTAGGATTTTGACATGTAGTTTGGAAAATTTTAGTATATCTTCCTTCTTCACTAATCTGTTGTAGCTTTCTTTGCATACTTTGTAGAACCCTTACAATAATTATATTCTCTACAATGTATAGCATCCTTTATGAAGACTCCTGTTAAAATTATGCACTTGATCAGCCCTGGAAGTGCTTGTGTTTTGTTGTTTCAGAAATTACTGAGCTTTTTTGTCTGTTTTTTAAATAACATTCAGGTTGCTACAAGGAACTGTATACATATATTTAGATATGGAGAAGAAAGAATTTATAGGTGTCTAGTCTCTCTGAATGGACATCCTCCTTATCTTGATGTTTCCTATTCAGATTAAATGTTTTCAGGCTCAAATGCTAAAATAAATAAACTATTAGGGAGGTGGATGGGAATGAGGGAGGAAAAGGAGAAGATTTTTCATCTCGCAGGTGAGAAGAACAAATTGGAGAAAAGGGAAGATGGTGGAGAGGCCTGGACATCTGAGGGCCACATGGCTTTTGCTCAAGTTGCGGGAAGCTGTACCTTCCTGGATAACCAGACACAAGTGGTTTTTAAGCAGCTGTCTTTTTTCTGTTCAGTATTCTTACCTCTGTATAAATTCTGGAATTTATCCTTCAGTCAGACCAGATCTGATGCAATATTCTTCCTTCGGCATACTGCTTCAGCAGGTTTGAGTGAGGGTTTCCAAGCAGATCAATCTAAAATAGAGGTTTTAAATTTAAGGTTCAGATTAAACCCAGCAGTAAAACCAGCTGAATCAAGTAGTGATTGTAGTTGTACTGTTATGCATCATTTACTGTGAAGTGTCTCTGCTCTCCGAGGTTAAAAGTTGGTGAAATACTAGAAATGTGTACATGAGCAAGGAAATCAGTCCTCTCTGAGAGAGGCCTATAACAAGACTTCTTCTGAATGAATTAGTTTCTCTTACAAGCTATGAATGCTATGTCCAAACCAATCTGAAATTTCTCCTGTGTTCTGTCTTGCAAGATTAGAAGTTGTTTTCAGTGGAGCAACAAAACTAGACACAAAATAGTCATATGAAAATAGTTTAAAACACTGCTGCATTTTCTCTTCGCTCTGCTGTAGCACAAGGGGATTGTAACTGTGTGAACATGTTCAGTGTGTTTGTACCTAAAAGCAGTGGTTACATTAACATGCAGATTCAAGGAGTGGTGTCCTTTACCAGACCACTGTCACTCCTCCATCCTTGGTTATATCTGTTAGTGCTGAACAACAGGATCATCAGGGGAGTTGTCACTTGGACCCCAGGCTGAACGCATTCCTAAAGGAGTACCTCACCCACCTTCACTCAACACAGCTGATGGCAAGAGAGGGAACTTCCTGCGATTTGGATGCTGTCAGTCAGTGTCAAGGAAGCTAAAAAGCAGGCAGAACATTGAATAGTGTAGATGTAGCTGTGTTCTTCTGTTCTTCACATCCATAGCTCTGGATGTGAGAGAAGTACTGTGAAGTTCATTAGCTCGAATAGAATTTTATCAATTTTTTGCTAACTGCTGTCAGTCAGAACAGTTCAGCAGATCCCATTTTAAAAACCTTCCTGAACTTTCCAGAATAAAGTCTTAAAATACTGTTCAGGAGCTGCCAAAATTTGAACTTGTGTCTTAGGTTTCCACTTTTGTTTGAGGCTAAGCTCAACTGCCGATGAAAGCCTTGGACCTCTCCAGAATCTTGGTACCAGTTCTTCCAGAGGTATTCCAAGACCTTACTCTTTCACAGCTATTAAGATACAAGTATCTTTTCCTTTCACTCTCTGCATCAGAACAGATTAGAAAGATCTGTATAATCTACTGTTTTAAAATATGTAAATCTAGAGATTGTTGTCAGTGCCAAAAAAAAAAGTTTTGATTACCTAACTAGAATGAACCAGATTTTTTTTATCCTCTTTACAGACATTCATGTACATGGTCCCTTTTCACAGGCAGAACTGATGTGTTGACTTCAGAAAATTTTGGCTCCTGCCTGCTTTTGCAGCTTACTATTTTTCCACTTCACATTCCTGATTTTTTTTTTCCTACTTACTTATGCCCTAGAGGATGGTAAACAGCTGCTGTCCTTGGTTAATTTAGTGATTCTTGATCTTCTGTGTGATTACTTTTGTCCATGAACTGTAGTGATTGTCCCATTCAATGCTGATGTATGAAGCTTAGTGCATTTTTGTGTCATTGAGCCAGGTGATCTTTACATCAAGCAGTTTTTGAAATAGAAAATATTTGTAAAAATACGTGGAAGGTTCACTTCTGTGTGGCATCTGTACAAGGAGGCAGAACCAAAGGTTTGATCCCCTGGATGGATAATGGTTGCACAGTCATTTTGATATCTTTTTGTAAGGCTGATCATGACCAAGACTTGTCAGTGATGTGATGGACAGCTCTGGAATCAAATCACCAGAAATGATGCCAGAATTTTGCAGTGCTTTTTATTTGTGTTTTTCAGTGTGTTGGCAGTTCTGTTATGTTTTGCCTTTTCCTTTTCCAGCTCTTTGCAATGCTTTTTGAGAGTAAGAACTGGCTTGTTCAACATAATATTCTATGTAAATAGATATATATTCTATATATGTATTATCTGTTCTATAGATAGATCTAGGGAATTCTTTCTTCAGAATAGATCTGTATCTATTCTATATACAGATAGAGAAATAATATTCTATAAAAACTTCATGTAGACTCAGAGAGCTGAAATAACTTATTGTGAGTTCGTGTGGATGATGGGAAAAGCAAAACTGGTTTGATGGTGGGATTTCATAGTTATCATGTTCTTAACCATGCTGTCAAAACTGAAGGCTGAGGAAGGAAATGTACTTTCTTGACCTCAGGTTTTGAAGTGTGATTTGCATTGCTGTTATGAATTTTCACTTTAAATAGCTAGTGAAAGGAGATGACCAGACTTAGATCATGACACTGGGTCTTTTTAAAAAGGTGAATGCATTAATCCTATAAAAAGTATGACTAGAAAATGTGAATTAATATTATTTTCATATGTATTTCCTTGTTAGATCCACAATTTAAAAAAAACCCACTGCAGGTTCAAAATGAGGTATTTGTTTTAAAGACCATTGTCTTTGACAATATGTCGTGGTGCAATTTTGCCTTGGACACTGTGTTGTATTGGTGAAACATGAAAACTCACAATTCTTCTGTGTGATGGCTGAAGGTTATCTCATGTTCCTTGTCCAGCACAGCTATATTCCATACAGCTGCTTGGGTGGATGGAGAGAAGTATTTGCATGTACACCAGACTAAATTTTGAATAAGAAACACATAGTTTAAGAATGCATCACTGCAGCTCAGCACTAGAGCTAAATAAAACAGCTGTGGTCTGGTGTTCCCAGTTCACAAGGCCTCGCCTGGGGTGCTGTGTCCAGAGGAGGGCTATAAAGGTGATGAGAGGTCTGGAGCACCTCTCCCCTGCTGAGAGAGCGGGGCTTGTTCAGCCTGGAGAAGAGAATGCTCCCAGGAGACTTGGAAGAAGGTCTCCAAGGCAGCTGGAAAGGAACATTTTTTTGATAGAACAAGAGATAATGTCTTTATAATGAAAGAAGGTAGATTTAGATTGGATATTGGGAAGAAATTCTTTATTCAGAGAGTGATGATGCACTGGAACAGGTTGCAGAAAGTTCTGAATGCCCCATGATTGGAAGTGTTGAAGGTTGGGCTGGACAGGGCTCTGAGCAACCTGGTCGAGATAAAGGTGTCCCTGCCCATGGCAGGGGGCTAGACTAACTGACCTCAAAAGGGCCCTTCCAACCAAAATTATTTTGTGATTAAAGTTGCTAGTACATTGTGAAACTTTTTGAATGGTTTTGATAAATCACTTGTGACTGGAACTGAGTGTCCTTTGATAGGAAATGAAACTGCTATTTTAAGGGGAGAGAGGAATGTGGTTATGCCATTTATGGTTAGTCTTTTGAGTTCAGACACATTTGTATCATCTTGTCTTTCAAGAATACAGTGAAGTTTCTATAAATGGTTTTGGTAATGTAAAGGTGTTTTTTCTTTCATTTTTTCTGATTTGTTTTTTCAGCTTCAGAAATTGCTCACTATGGATCCAATAAAGAGAATTACCTCAGAACAGGCTATGCAGGATCCTTACTTCTTGGAAGATCCTCTTCCTACATCTGAGTAAGTGGTCAATTTATTAACCTATCAGTGCATTCAGAGATGCTTTAGAACTGTGCTTTTTCTCTGCCCTAAGTATGTTTCTGAATATTGAGCTAAATACTGTCTAACAACTGAAGAGAGCTATAACCACTAAAATGCCATTTGTGGTTTTTAAAATTAAGTAGCATTTTTATTAATCTCTTGCTTTATAGAACTTTGATCCTATTAGTTGCAGCACTAATCTTGTTACTCACTGACAGGTTGATTATGCATGCTACAGATCTTGGTAGACAACTGCTAAGTGCCTGCAGGTCCACTTCTCTGCCTCAGAATGCCAGATGACAGTCTCTAATTAGTTTACATTTTTGTCTTAGCCTTTGCTGTAAATTCACTGGGTGGGGAAAGTCAACTCTGTGTCTCTGTGCTGTCATCCTTAAAAACTTAAATCCATTTTCTGTAGACACTCCTCTTTTTTGTTTGCACAGGCAGATTTACAAAAGGGAGAAAATGTATGGACAATGAATGATCTCATTAAAAATTAAGCCCATCTTCCAAGAGACTAGCCAGAGAGCATGACTGTACACCCTTTTAGGAAATCTATTAGTACATCCTGTCTGTGATTCTCTACCCTTACGTAGGGAGGAATTTATAAAATATGTATACTTATAAGAAATTAATTAAAAATGAAATTATTTCACTAAAGCCTACTGGATTATTTATAGCATCTCCTGACCTGTCTTTGTGATTTAAAGTCATGCGAATGATTGGCTGTTGCACAAGCTGCTTTTAGGATAGTGTTTGGCTTTTTTCTCAAATTCAGGTTGACATTTTAGTGAATACACAATGAGTACTGCTAACAGGTGTACAGAGACTTTATTATAAATACATTCTACTGATGAAGGGCAGGTAAATATTAGCTTGCACTAGCAGTAGCAAATCCATGTGGACTGTGAGATATGAATTGACAGGTGAAATTTCTAGTTACTTTAAAACCCTTTTTTCCAGGTGGCTTTGTTAATAGTCAGTGAAGTTTCTAGGAATATTTTTACTTTGTTCTGAGATTGTGAATTACACAATAACTATAGTGACATAGCTCTTTGTGCCCTTGCAGATACCTAACAGGTAATGTACCTTTCTAGCCAACAAAAAAAATATTGGGAACTCAAGTTAGTGTATAAGAGCCAAACAAACATTAAATTCAAATGTGAATATATTTTTACAAAGTTTAGCATATGGTGATAGTCAGACAGGGAAAACTTCTTCTTTAATTACAGTTATTAAATGATGGCTCAGGCAACTTGCAACTATCATGGGTGAAGTGTGAATCTTACAGGTCTAACCCTTCTGTTCTAATACAGTGATAAATAGACTTTTTTGGGGGACAGTGTTTTTGCAGGTTGTCAAATCCCTTACCCAAAACGAGAATTTTTAACAGAAGAAGAACCAGATGATAAAGGAGACAAAGTAAGTACTAGAAGAACAGTGTCATCATGTTTCACTGGCTTTTACACTATTTCCTGATTTCATGTTATTTCATGTACTGCTTTTGAGTTGAAATTTTTCTTTGTGTTTAAACAATTGAGAAGAACCAGCAGCAGCAGCAGGGCAATAACCATACTAATGGAACTGGTCATCCAGGGAATCAAGACAACAGTCACACACAGGGACCCCCACTGAAAAAAGTGAGAGTTGTTCCTCCTACCACTACCTCAGGTGGACTTATTATGACCTCAGACTATCAGGTATTTTGTTTTATTCACATATTGCATATTTGCTTTTCATGTTTAGAGCAGTGTTTCTTCAAACTCAAAAAGTAATTTTGTAAATGTCACTGTATTAACTGTTACTTTTTGGTACCTTTTGGTTTTTGTTGTTTTTTTTTTTCAGATTCATTTAGTTGATGATTTGTTGATATCCTGATGCTCTTTAGGTTAACAGTAAGGAAATTAGGATCAGACATTACTAGAGTTACTAATTATTACCTTTAAATGAGGAAATGCTAAAGGTTATGGACCAGGAGCCTGTTATGGTGTGCTCTGTATCACCTAAAAATGCCATTTCTTGCTTGAACAAGCCTGTAATGGTGGGAGGCAGAGGATATTGCAGTAAAAAAAGCTGTGAAATAAGAAGCTGAACAAGTGTTTTATTTGGATTAATGGATGCAGAAATGGTATTTTGGATGACAAATAAAGACTTGGCATGATGCTGTCGTAATCTCTTTTGAAGAGCAAGGGAGAGCCCAGGTTGAATAAGGCAAATATTACAGATCTGAAGACAGGTGAGATGGTGGCAGTCAATGAGTGAGGAAGATGAGGAGCCACGTTGGGAAAAAGCACTTGAGGAAAAGAGAAAAACGTGTTCTGGCCTTCCTGAATTCGAGCTTGTGCTCAGACATTAAGAAATCAGAGCCTGGAGTATAAGAATATCTTCATCACCCCAGCAAATGATAACCGAGTTTTTGGGTTTGAATGAGGTGGCTGCTGGAGACTGGGGGAGAAGAGAGTTAAGGATGGAACCTTTACTTAATACAAGCTAAGAAATTACAGAAGAGGGGCAGGGAAGACTTCAGATGATTCACAGGAGCAGTTAGAGAAAGTGAGATTTTTGCAAGCCTGGGGAATAGGTGATTTCAAGAGGAGGCATGCTGCTGGAAATGTTAGCCTGCAGGAACTAACCATTGCATACTGGTTGACATGGAACACACAGTACAGGCGGCCGCTTGGCAGACAGTCTTGGATGCAATCAAAAGATGGGGAAGATGGAAACTACTGGCAATGTTTTCAGTTAATTTAAAGATTAATATCTAAATGTGAGATCCTGATAATGGACACTCACTTAGCTGGGCTTACAGTCTCTAGCAAAATGTAGGGAGAGTTAAAAAATGGAGTCAGTAAAGCTGCTGCTGCCAGCTTGCCTTTCACAGCTTCTCCATGGACCACCAGTGGCCTTTGAAGTCTTGTGTTTGTTCCTGAGAGTACCACATAGCCTGAGAAGCTGCCTGGGGGCATTACCTTCATCTTTAACTAAATCTGTGTTCTCTCAGCATTGGCCAAAACTTGAAAGTACTACAAAAATGTAAAGTAAGATAATTTTCAAGAGCTTTATTGAGACCCTTCACATGAGTATGAGTCCCCAAGTGCATTTGTTCAGTTTATCCCAGGACATCAATAACACATCAGTTTGCAAGTCATTGTCCTTGAGCAATATACATTTTTAGAGCTGTTTGAGACAGTGGTGAGCCTTAACTATAGTTCTGCAGGGTGGGGTGCCTCTAAGTATAAATGTCATTTCTTTTGGTAGGATTGTCCATTGCAGGCACTTCTACAGGAGTTTCATCCCTTCAGTTTGGCAAGTTGCAGTCAATTGCTGTTTTGGCCTTTTAATTGGCTCTTTTTTCCACTTAAAAACATGCACACAGAGCAGAAGGCAAATACAGCTGTAACTTTCTTAATCTTGCCCTCCGGTGGAGTCACACATCTAAGGAGGTTAGTTCTACTGTGTCGGTGAGCATCATTTACATGCCCTATTTACATGCCCTTCACCTCATTTTGCTGCTACATTGTGGCATTTTGAACGAACTTCAGCTCCTAGTTCTGTGAGCCAGGGCTGAGGTTTGCTGGCTGACAAATCAGAGGACTCAAATTGCTCAGCCAGTTGGCATTGGCTTGTTTTCAGTTATTGCTCATCAAAATTTTTGTACTCACAGATATCCATCCTGGGATTACAGGTGAGGGCAGCCCTTGTCGACAAACATAATTTCAGAATTCTTTTCCCTTAAGATAGTAACTGCTGCTTTTCTGTTTCAGGAGCTCTTACTGTTAACTTGTCTGCTCCTGACTAATCTTTCTGCTGTCCCTCTAGGAGGGAAAATACCTGGTTTTCAAAAAACATCTTTCCCCTCCTAGTCTTGCAAAGAGGCAGTCGGTAGATTTTTTTTTCTGATTAAGGTGTCTGAAAAACATGGTAATCAAAGAGTGGAGACCTGGACTTCTTAGCACTAGAACAAAAGCAGCTAATAGTTTCCAACTGATGGTTTCAGGTCTCCATGAAAAAAATTCCTCGCATTTTTTGCTTCTGATCCAGCCACTTGAGGAGAGGGAAAACAAACATTACAATACAGCCCTCTGTTTTAACCAAACACCTGTTCCTTTGTTCTTCACTTGATTTGCTCAAATTTCCCATATAAAGCTTGTGAAGAAGGATTGCCATCTCCTGGGCAAGGCACACTAAGACAGTTTCTGCATTCACTCAGAAGTCAAATTACTCTCTGCAGAGCACATTGACCTCATATCCTTTTCTGCCATGCATAAAAATAGTTAGACACATGGCACACAGACTTTCTTGCCTCCTTGTTTAAATCTGCAATGTGACACTCCCAAAGGCAATGTGATTAAACAGGCTGGAGCAATTCCACTACCCTGAGCTTTTGCTTGTGATAACCCTCTGGGTGCTTAATGGTATTTAGAAAGGATTGGATATTTACTTTTATTCTTAAACAAAAGCCGTTTGTTGCTCTAGGTGTCATGAAAGAAACTGTTTTTTCATTGCCTCTGTCTTAAAATAAGATCTGTTTTAGAAGTCAGGATGTGGGAAGTGTTTTATAAGTGAAATAAGTGGTCAGTTTTAAATGGTTAAACTTGTGATGGTTTCCTACATACAGGAGCCACACGTGGGCGAAACCAGCATGCAAGACTTTTGCTCTTTGAAGTACATCCTGTATTTGTAACATGGAGAGGGTGACCCAGAGCTGTGACCCTTCTGTTGATGAGTGACTTAGTCCTTCCCTCAAGGCTGAAGGCAAATGTCAAAAAGTTCAGTCACTGTGCTAATGGTGCAGTTCAGCAGTGCTGGTTTGTTGCCACTGATTTTAAGTGCTGGTCCAGCTGTTTCTCCTCCTTTTCTCTAGCGTTGTTAGCTTAGTCCTGTGACCGTGTGTTAACTAGTATGCCTTTTTTATTTCTGCCTTCACCTCAGCATCCTGGGTATAGCTTCTGTTCTAAATGCTGTACAACAAGAAAAAAAATGGGGTTTTTGCTTTATGTTGTGACTTAATATTTTACTTTCTCATGGTGTTAGTTCACCACAGGTTTGTGATATCAAGAATTCAGAAGCTACACAATTTCTAAATGCTGCAAAGTTTGTAAGGGCATGTAAACCTCAATGTGAAAGTAAACCAGCACAGTAATGTACTGAAATTGTGATAATTTAATGAAATGTTATATGGTACCAAGTGGTCAGATACCTCTATTGCAAATCTCATAGGCAGTCCTTCTTTCCTTTATAACACATGATCAATAAATAATAACTTTTAGGTCAAAATTGAAGTAGGCAGTTGCTGGTTTGCTGAGACCTTTTTGCAATGATGAATGCTCCACTCAAATAATTGTGGGAGCACTGGTTGAAAGGGGCCTCTGGAGACCATCTAGCCAAGTCTCCCTCTTGGAGCAGAGCTGTTGCTAGTTCTGTCTCACTCAGGTTAGCATGGCTATATTAAGCTGAGTCTTAAAAACCTTCATAGAAAGAGAGACCTCACAGACTCTATGGGCAGGTTCTTCCAGTGCTGTACTGGCCCCTTAGAGTGGTCCCTCCTCCAGTGTCCCACCTGAACCTCCCAAGCCACAGTCTAAGGACATTTTTGTCTGAAATAATACGGTTCCACTGAAGATCATGTTGCTGTTGTCTTTAAACTCTCCTCCAAATGTTTTAAGGCTGCTGATAGATGACACCTAAGCTCAGTCACAGTGCTCCCAGCCTGTACTCCTAGGTCACACAAAAGGGTGGCAACTATATCCTCTGTGTGTGAAAATCTGTAGAATAAGGCAGAGTGGCTCATGAGCAGTAAGATGCTTCACCTGGACCTCCACCCCAGCCTACCTTCCTGGTAGGAGAAGGGAACAAGTGGAGAAGACCACATCTGTGAGTGGTGGTAGCCCAGTGTCATGTGCAAGTGCACAGTAGCTATCTGGAGGGTTAGCTGGAGGCTTGACTGCGATAGGTGAAGATTCCCAGGAGGCTATTAGGGTGTGGCACAAGGCTGGCAGCTGTCACTTTCTAGTCTGGTGTTCTTGATGTTTGTTACCTGCTGTAATCAGAATAAGCAAAACAAAGCCTGGAAGTGCAGCTCCTTTGAGACCATGTGTGTTGGTCAGTAGGTGGAATTGTCTTGCGCTGTCCATGTTACAAAGGGCTGTGTGTCTGTGCTTTCCCCCCCTGCAGCGTTCCAACCCCCATGCTGCCTACCCCAACCCCGGACCAAGCACATCGCAGCCACAGAGCAGCATGGGATACTCAGCTACCTCCCAGCAGCCGCCGCAGTACTCGCACCAGACCCACCGGTACTGAGCTGCACCCGGTGCCGTCGATGCGCCGTCGCTGATGCTGCAGGACCGGCCGCGCAGCTGCGTGCCAGGAGCCCGGCTTGGGCCAGAGAATGTACTGTACAACCACACCTCCCACCTGTCCGACCGCCACGACCCACCCCCTGCCACGGGGCCGAGCGGGGGCTCCCACGTCGTACCTGGTTTGGGGGTTAGACTTGAAAGCGCTAGCACGGTTTGTGTTGTGGATAATGCTACTTCTGTAGTTTACTTGACATGGTTCAGACTGACCGATGCATTTTTTTCAGTGACAGTCTGTAGCAGGTGAAGCTGTGAAATGTGCTAGGGGCAAGCATTTTTGTTGTCGTATGTGGTGAATTCTCTTGATGTAACAACTTCATCTGACCAATAGTACGCGACATCTTTGAACTGGTACTTGAAGCATACAGTATATGTTACCATGGCAAAAAAAGCAAACTAACCGTAACTCTCAGACAGTTTTGATAGACGTTTATTTTTAGTGACTTTTGTGGGTTGGTTCATTTTCCACCTAGATCAATGTTTTATGACCGACACGATTGCTACGATGAGATTTTTTTAAGAACATGAAAGCGTTTGCATTTTTTCCCAGCAATTACAAACGTCCCAAAGATTTATTTCCAACATAAGTTTTTGTTTTTAAATCTATGACTTGACTGGTATTAAAGCTGCTATTTGATAGTAAAATAAGTATGTTGTCATTGATATAAACATGTTTGGTTCAGCAAACAAACTAAAATGATTGTCATAGACAGTGTTTTATTTTTTTCCTGTTGGTGTTAATGATTTGTGAGCATGCTTTGGGATTAAAAAAGCATGAATGATGTTTCCTAAAGAGGTGCGGCATCCATTCAGATATTTTGTCATGATTTTTGAGAACCAGCTTGGTGTAGTGGATTTTAAATTTTGTTCAGTTAATTTTTATTTTTTAATGTTCGCACGTTGTTTAGGGGTGCCATTCCTACTGCAGAGGAACAAGGTGTTAGGAGAGCCTTAGAATTTATGAGGAAAAACTTACATACAATGTACTGTATCAAACTATTTTACATGAATGACACAAGTATTCTGAGTAAAAAAAAAAAATCAAACATTGTTAAAACAAGGTGTTATGTAATAAATTTATTTTTCATAAATCTGCATATGACCTTTGCCTGTATTCCTTTTTATCACTAAAAACCCCCTGCTCCCCCATCCATATCTGTATCAGGTTGTGTCCTGAGAAACTGCATCCAGCAGGAATTTGTCTTGCAGGGCAGGCTTCCATTAAGTGGTGAGAAGGATAATTTTTCTTTTAAACAGCAGAAAGAAAGGGCATTACTCTTGGTCTGTACATGTAGCTGATCATCTGGAGATACTCTGAAAGTGGATTTATTACTAACTACATTCCCTACATCAGGCAGCTCCTTTTCATCTACAAAATCCAGAGGCATTCCTGTCTGGATAGTTCTTCTGAGGTTTCTGTAGCTCAGTATGAGTTTGATAGGTAGTACCACACCATGATTTTGACATGAATTTATGCAATACATGCAGGATATTTTTCTGCAGGTGTTTCACAGAGTGTGAATGTCAATCGGTGTGATTGATCCAAATGCACTGAGATGCCAGTACAGGGCAAAACAAGAACCAAATTGCGAGCCAGCCTTGAAAGGCAAACCATGTTTGAGGTGAGGATAGAACTACCTGACTGGATGGACTACAGGTTCAGGTATTCAGGAGGCTTAAAACTAAAGAAGAAAATCTGAGTGAAGAATTTATGCTGCTTTGATGATACTGTATGATGCCCTCTTAATTTTGACATAAAAGGTAAAAATCTGTCTTTCCTTGGTTTCTGGAACAAATTAATATATAGCCTTAAACTACTTGGTTTGCTTTTCAAATGGAAGTATTTTCAGTTTTTACTCTTATTTGTATATAGGCTTTAAGCTTACCTATTCAGTATGTCCAAACTGTTCCCAGGCACTCAGATGTTGCCAAGAGGAACTTTTTTTTCCTAAAGTGCTATTGGCCCAAATTTTTGTTTCCTATTGATGCATATTCATATTAATGCATAATGGATAATGTTATTCATGTAGAAGCAGACTTTATTTGATACCATGATATTGTGATGTCTACAGTTGAAAAGTAGCAGGCTTGCTTGAATTTCATTTTTGCAAAAGGAAATGCATCCAGTTGACAAAAGGTTCTCTTGCCATTAATTTATGCTTGAATTTAATTTTCTCATTAAGAATGTTTCTGAGCTAAAGATGCAGCTTATCAAATAATTATAATAAAACTAAATTATATTCTGCATTTCATTTTGAATAGCCTACTACTTTCAATTTCATTCACTTGTATTCTCATTTTTAGTAGATATATTGCAGATTACATCAACAAACACATCCTACAGGGAAGTCAAATCTTTATATTTGACCTGTACTGATGTCTCAGTCATCATTTGTTGGGAGGTACTTGAGGTTTTTTTCTCTACGACTTTGGAAAGAAAAAGTTTTTCCGTGCTTGGTATAACCTCTGGTACCTTGAAGACAGGGTATGATTCTGTATTGCAGGTAAGGTCAATCACATCATATTCATGATAATTATGAGGGATCTTCTGCATCTAATAAGCTTTTTAATACTGGCTTTAGAAGTACTGAGGGCAAGGCTCTAAATTACTTTCCTGAACTGTATGAAAATGCATTAATCCTGTTGTTATGCTCTTGATGGGGCTTTTACGTGAGGGTTACAGAGAGGGGAGGAGAAGAAAGCACCTTTGAGAAGGGTTTAATAGAAGATTTACAAGTTCCCGTGAGGAGATCGCAGCAGCAGCCAGAGTTCGAGCGGTGCCTCTTTCCTCACGTGGCTCAGCTTTTGTTACTGGATTCAAGAACTTCAAAGCTTTTCCTTGCTCACCAACAATTATCTGGACCCATCTGAGTGCATTTAAAATAGCTGGAATCTGGGAGCCTGCCTGTCTTTGTTGCTGTGATTAAAGGACAAATTGTTTTGCTAGAGTAGGCTTATGTCGAAAATGGGCTACAAGCTTGACTTGATTGTGAGGATAAATGCGCTATTGCACCTTAACCTTGGCCCTCCCAGCAAGCCTGGCCTGTGGCAGCTCTGCATTTATCATACCAAATAAAGACCCAGCTGCTTTAAGAAGAAATAAACAACTTTTGCACTGATCCCTTTTGAAGAGGGTTTCAGCATTAGTGCTGGGAGGAGGAGCAGTCCCACCTCCCCAGAAGGAAGAACTAGAAAGAAGCCTGGTTTTGTCCTGCTCTTTCCTGTGTGTGTATATATATATAGAAAGGAAAACAGTGGACTCACTGAGTTGCCCATGGCAGTGCCCAGGCTGAGGGGTAGGTAGGCCAGTGTTCAGGTTTTCCTTTAGCTTTCTATTTTTTTTTTATTTTTTTTTTCAGGGAAGGTTTAGGCTGGTTATTAGGAAAAGATTCTTCACCCAGAGGGTGGGTGGGCAGTGGAACAGATTTCCCAGAGAAATCTGGGAAAAATCCCAGAGAAATCTGGCACCAAGGCTGCCAGAGTTCAAGCGCTTAGATAATGCTCACAAGTCATGTGAGATCACAATTTTTGGGGTTGTCCTGTAGGAAGCCAGGAGTTGGGCTTTGATGATCCTTGTGAGTCCCTTCCAACTCAGGATATTCTATGATTCCTTCATTCTGAAGCCACTGCTGGGCAAGCCCTCTTCTGGCTTCAGTGAAAGGCCAGCCGTGATCTCTGCCTTGGATGTGTGGTGCCTGCTGATGATTTTATGGGCATGGTTAGGCAGTTTGGCTGCCAACAAGTGGGGTAGTGGAGCCTGCAGGATCTCAGAGGACTTTCTGTGTATCAGGAAGGAAAGACAGAGTATTTCTTGGAGCCAGTGGTGAAGTTGCAGACCTGCCATTTGGAGTAAATATTGTTGCCATGGTTAAGATGAACCTCATTTCTGCAGAAGAAATGAGTCATGGGGGGCTCCCTACACCATATTTTAGTTCCTCCCCTGCATAGAGCAGATTTTTTTTGTTGAGTAGGGCAGCCATCCCAGCATCTTCCTTCAAGCTGAGTGGTGACATTGCTTCTGGCTGCCAGTTCTGAGACAGTTTAATATCCAGCGTCCCTGGAGACCAAGGTAGATGAGCCTAAATCAATGTAATTTGCTTGTCACAGCTATGGATAAAGAACACCCTGTGAAATAATTTGTCAGACATCTGAATGATGGGATGTAGAAGCTGTACTCCAGCAGTAGGACAGAATGAGAAAAAGGTGCTTACCCTTTGAAAGCAAAACAGAAACAAAGCTGCTGCTGTTTCCACCAGGTCTCCTGTGATAAGTTCCTCTCCTTGAGGAAGTCAGGCAGCCTTTATCTTGGTGGTTGGCTTCAGTGATGGCAGGAGCTGTCTCCAGAGGACTGTCTGTACTTGCAGAGATCCTGTGCTGGAGAGCTGGACACTGGCACTGATGCTAATGAAGCCATTGCCCTGGGGTGATGCATGCCAGCTCCAGCCCAGGATGGGAATCTGGATGAGCTCCATCACTGCTCTGAAAGCTCCCATGTCACAAGATGCTGAAAAGTACTTTTCAGCCTGCCAGGATTAGGGTGCCTTTCCTTGGCTCTCAAGGAGTTTAATTATCCCTGCGTTTAACTATCCCTTCACATTTCTGGTCCTACGTAGGTGGACTGGGCAGTGCCCTGAGCCAGGGGAGGTGGTGAAAGGGCTAGTGCAGGAGTAGTTGTTATTTAAGCTGCTCAGCACATCTTGGCACATAGCCCTGAGCCCACAGAACCACCAAGGACAGCCTTTATGGCATGTGCTTTTGGGAAGTGTTTCCGTTTGCTCAGCCGGGGATTTGGGAAAGCTGCCATATCCTTGGAGCAAGCCTTTGTTTAATGTTTGTGGGAGCTTTGAATTTGTACAATGTGTCACCCACAGTGTGTGAAGAGCAGCTGCCTCTCTGACACCCCATTAGGTGCCTACAGAATGCAACAGCTATCTGAGGGAGGGAGGTGAAGTAGGGATTTGTGTAGGCACAGTGCTTATGGGAGTGCTGAGACAAAGGTAAAAAGCCCTTGAGCAGGTGCTTATGGAATGCCCATGGTTACAGTGAGAAGGCCCAGAGGTGTATTGTCTTGCACTGAGGTGTAAAGAGCAGCTCTCTTTCATGGGAGCTCATTCCTTCTCTGACCCACGGTGCCAAAATCTGACCATGTCCTACAATGGTTTAGGGAGGGTTGCCTTCAGTATTTGGCTGGCCTTCCCACAAGGCTGGCCAGCTGTGCTAAGAGCTGCTCTTATCAATCACCTTTTAAAATCAAAATTCTGTTTCTGTTTATAGTGTTTCCCAAGTATGCTTAGGGACCTGTGGAGTTCCTACATTAGCCAAGCTCCACCTTAGTAGTGAGTTTGTGCCCTTACCTCAGCAAGGGAGACAGTAGGATATATTGTTTGGCATTCTTCACACAAGCTTCAGCCATGTGCTCCTGTAGATCAGAATGTGGAGGTACTCAGCAAACTGTGGAGAAGGATTCTTTGGGGGATAAATCCTGCGTTTGTGTGCCAGCAATGATCCCTGTGAAAGGGGGGTTTTACTTTGAGGTGTGCTCAGCTCATGCAGACAGCTCATACACAGCTCAGGCACTCCTGATGTCCTCTGCACAAGCTTCAGGCTCTCTGCCCCGCCTTGCTTTCAGATCAAGAAAAGGTGAAAGGAGCTTGATGTCGCAGCCCAGGAAATCCCATCATAAACTCCTAAAATAGATTCCACTCCCACCAGCCATGCAGGTATGTAATGCAGCTGCACAATGTACTTGGGCACCAGACAAAACCAGCCGGTTTGAAGATCCCCCCGGTGTCTTTGGAGGCCTTGCTGGGAGATCCCTGCAGGGGCTTTGGACACAGAGCAGCCTGTGCCTCCTGAGTGATGGGCAGACCATGCCTGGGGCTGATGAGCAGCTGCTTGATCAGATCTCATCCAGCCCCCACTCCATGGGTGAAGAGGTGAGGCTGTCATTTGCAATCACACGCTTCTCCAGTGGCTCAGGAGGAGGAGAAGGGGGCTCAGGCAGTGCTCTGCAGGCCTGGGGGGAGGAGGGAAGGTGGTGGCTGCGGGCAGAGAGGTGCTGGTGGGTCAGGCTGGCTGCTGTGGTGTCCTGGGGCTC